GTGATATCCTGCCGGGCAGCTGGTGACAGGGGGTATGTATACGTTAAATATTTCGAGCTCAACATCGCCTGACCGGATAGCAATACACTGACATTCTAGGATGGTATCCCTGCGGTCTATGTCTGCTTCAATGAGACGATACTGCACGGTGTGGTGCGCGATGAATGCTAAACCTCCACCATTATCTCGCTCGCGATCTCGACGGCGCACGTTGTATCCGGCGCAATTCAACAGGGTTGAATTGCCGTGCAACTTCGTCTCTTGGACCGCAGCTATTAATATTCCATGCCTTCCCATAAAGACAGTTATCTCCTCGATCTTGCTCTGGAGTCCGTTACAGTTAAATTGTAGCACCTTTGTGTGCCTTGGGAGACCGATTGTGATGTGTGGTGTTAAAGAGTTGTGTTGCCTGCCGGCCCCCTGCCGTACTTGCTGCAAAAGGGGGTGCTGCCTATTGTTGTGCTGTGTTGGGGTGTGGGTGTGTTGATTGTGTGCTGCCCAGGCGGGTGGTGGTTTGCCATGGAGGCGGTCCGGTTCGCACAGCATGGGGCCACGAACGACGTGGTCCATTGCCGGTGCGTACGCAGGCCCGAGCAGTTACGGAGGTGACTCCACCCGTCACAGGCATTGCACCTGACCGAGGTGGAGTTTGTGTGCAGTCTCTCTGGCATACGCAGCAGGTGTAGATTTCTGGCCCTGGGTTTGACTCTATGCCAGCCCTGAGCAGAAGGGTGCGGAGAAGGTGTAGCCCTAGGATCGAGCAACGTTTGATGGATTTCGCCAACCTAAGCGGGGTTAGATCGCCGAAACAACAGCCCTTGGTCGGGTAAAACCCGAGTCATTCCGGTACGTAGAACCTGCTGGCGTGGGAATGCCTGTATTTTGTTGTTGCTTCTGGTATCGAAGGTGTCAAAAACTGTTCTGATTTTTTTCCTTTAACATCAAAGCGTGCCATGTGAAATACAAAAAAGATAAAAAATTTAAATTGAAAAAATTAAAATTGTTGCAACTTTCTTTCTTAGTAAATTGGTTTGCTTCTCGAAGCATTGATCCATCCTGTGCCAAGCCCAGTAATCAGCGGTTGTGCTGCTGAGTTCGGCGAGCGTTCCAAAAGCTGCTATTCAATCGCTGGTTTTGTATGGAAAAAGGTTTCACATGCAAATAGATTTTAACAATTTAGAATTTTTGTGAGCGGAAATTAAAAATATTTGACATTTTCGGGAACAAATAATTTGAAAAAAATCAAAGCAGCTGCTATACTGATACTACCTGTTCAATGTGCCTTGGTTTAATTGTATTTTTGGAATAAACAAAGTTCTTTTTCCTTCTGTCAGTAAACTGTTTTTTTTTTTACAAATAGTATATCGATGGCTGAGTGGAAGATCGACCTATCTCGGCAGCCAGT